GAAGAACCAAGCTAGGAAGAATATTGATGCTTTTCAACTTTGATGTTGGAGAAGACTCCTAAAAATACTGTAGAGAGCCAAGAAAACAAACAAATGGATCATTGAACAAATAAACTTGAGGCACAAGTTATTTTACTTTGGACACATTATGTGAAAACCCAGCTTTGTGGATATGGCTTTAATGCTGGGAAGGTGAAAGAAAAGAGGGGAAATGGATGACCAGCAGCATGGTGGATCGATTCAGTTACAGTGGTGCCGAATGCACCATTTGAGGATCTGAAAAACTAGCTAAGGGTAGATCATCATGGACAAAATCTATGTGGTTTCTAGGAATAGAAAGTGACTTGATCCAGTCAAAAACATTACTTTTGCTGTTCTAATCAATAGTTCCTGAAATAAGGTGATAATGCCTCCTGAAATAAATAAAGAATCTTAAAAAATTCAGATGGGAGACAATGCAGGAGAATGTAAATTTTAGTAGGCTTTTTCCTTTCCTGTATTTTAAGTGGCTAAGGACTGTTTTAATAGGTCATAAACATAGCCATATTTAAGGCCTGTGAAAGAATTAAACTGCTCATATTTTCTTTCTTCTCATTCTTTTGCAATGAATTATTTCGGAATCAATAGCCTTAAATTGAAACGTTAAATTGCAATTCACTGAACACAAATGAATCTATTACTGGCATTCATTTTATTTCTATTGTAATTGCATCTTAAAAGCTTACTCCTTTAGACTGAGTGGCATAAATTAACATTAAATAAATATATTTTCCCAAACCCCAATTGTTTTGTTTTCCTTTTATTGAATATTATGACAATATCATAATGGGAAGCATGTAGGATAGATTTTAAAAATGAGGTATGACCTGGTGTGCTGCTACTATATATTGCAATAGTAACTATAAATTAATCCTCTCCTGTAATTCTTTATACAAAATAGTTAACACAAGTTATTCACTGCATTTAGTGCATGCAGAATCTTTCTGCAGAATGGACTGCTGTGATGATTTTCTCAGGTGTAGCTGTGCTATTTTTTAATCAACAATTAATGGAGCAAGAGCTGAACATAACACCAGCTTAAAGGGAACCTTGGTAGCTGAATGGCAGGGTCAGGTCATAAACACTATGACTTGACCCTGCCATTATATATCAAGCACTCTTAGAGAAAACCACAGCTTTGCTTTCTTAAATTTATGTAACATCACATGTTGAGTGGAAAACTGTGGGGCAATCATGCAGCCAACAACTAGAGCAATGTATCTTAAGCTTGGCATCTTTAATATGCCTGGACTTCAAGTCCCCAAAATTCCCCATCCATCCATCCATCCATCCATCCATCAACACTAGTATACAAAAGGGAATCTCAGACAGATTTAAATAGTTATCTACACTTTGGTTATAATCTGCCTTGAGTACAACCATCTGTTCCATGTGTTGTACAAATGTGGCAGTTAGGCTGATAATCAATGGTAGCTGCATTGCAATTAATATAATACCCATGTTAAAAGATTTGCATTGCTTGCCAATAGCTTATTGCATACAATTTAAGATCTTTATGTTGGCAACTTAGGGCCCAAGAACCATATCCCTTCCTACAAACCAGCCCAGGCATTTGGATCATTAAGAACCGGCGGATGATCAGGACATCTAATGCTATTTTGAAGGGGGTACTTTTGGTACCGAAACTCCACTATTAAGAAAATGATAAATATCTCTTTCCCCAAACTTTTAACTTAATGGAGTTTAATGGTGGTTATTTTAATCTTGATTTCTATTGTATTGACATTATTCTTCTGTTTATATTTAGATGCATTGTTATGAATCACATTGAATGCTTATATAAGATGGGCTCTACATTCAATATAAATAAATCTAATGGAAAATAAGAAACATTACAGGAAGCCTTGGCTATGAGTTACACATTTTAAAATGATCTGGTTTTTATACGGGAACAGATTTTAAACTAACCGGCCAAAAATAGTTATGCAAATTAAAAACCCATGAAATATTTTTGTTTGGTGAAGTGAGAAAGAAATGAATAATGGGAAGAAATGAATAATCTTTATATTGCAATGGTGTATAAAACACTAGCTCCAAGAACAGCATAATCCTGTCCATCAATTTAGCAAATTGATTCTATTTTGTACTGCCCTAGAAATTATAACTGATAAATAATATTCTGTATTTCTTGCAGTCTCAAGTTCTCTGCCTATGAAATTCTCCTTGAGGATTTTAAGGTTCAGGACAAAGATATAAACAGCCACTCTGCATTGGAAACACTGTCCTTCAGAAAGAGGGCATTAAGATAAAATGATTAAGAAATGCCAACACTGAAGAAAATGTGTTGTTGTTTAAATAGTGTCCCACATTCAAATCTATTGTAATAGGTTTGTCTTTCATATTTACCTTGATAAAGTTACCATTGCCAGATCTACTTTTTATTTCAAATTTGTTTTAAAGGAAGTTTTTTTTTTGCAGATGTATTCTAAATGTAGGGTATCAAAATACAAAACACGTGGATATTTCTCCATAGATTTCCAATTCCAGTCTACATCACCCAGAGATCTTCACCAAAACAAAATACTCATACAATCTAATTGTTTTTCCTAAGGCCATCCAGTATCTGTGTGGGCATGCTATGATTTAGGCTTCCAAGTATAGCTTGAAATTGAATGTATCTCTTCAAAATTGAAGTAACTATCTGTGTTCACTGAATTAGGACTACAATCCTTGACATTTAGTAGACATTTCTGGTTAAGAATGCTTAACAGTGAAAAATCAATTGGAATGATGCCAAATTTGCAATGTAAAAGTTTAAAAATGGAAAGAGTTTATTGCCACACATTTGTTAATATAACAGACCATGGTACCATTGTCTGGAACAAACTGGACTATTTGATATAGGAATAGGTCCTGCAAGATGCGAAGTGCTTCCCAAACTGATAATAGCTCCAGTCTATTCATGTGTTATGAATTCCTCCAATATGAACCAAGTGTACAGGCCTAAGAGCACTCCTCATCCGCAAAACAATCAAAGGTGCAATCTCAATTCAAATCAAGGTCATGTCAATAGTTAGGAAGAACTGTAGAAGCCTCTGGAAAGATTTCCTGCAGTGATTTTTCAGAAGAACTCAGATATGCAGTGAGATTATGATGCAGAACTAAAGAATCTAAATGTGTTGGATAAAGTGGAAGCCTCATGTGGCAAGCAAAAATAAAGTATACTAAATGAAATGGAATAAAGAAAGTTAAGAAAAAGGATAACGTCCACAGAAACCAAGGAGCTCCATGAAAAAATGTTTGATCTGTGTGAAGGAATTCATACCTACTGATTTTTTTTATCCACAAGGAAGGTTTCTTTAGAAAATTTAGAATGAGTTTTGCACAGATGCACAACTCATATATATAAATCACAGAAAGCATGTTTATCTTGATTTACAAAGACAACAATTTTTAAAGAAACATATAAAAATAGAATGAAGATCTAAGTTTAGATAAATAGGATACGTATTTGAATAAAATATCACCAAAAATGTGAAGTAAGAGATATCAAAGGCAACTGAGCAAAATTTGATTATCTTTCATGAAGTTAGAAAAGAGCTGTTATTTAAAAGGAAGAGTAATAACAGAGCTCCGCAACAAACTGTACAAAAAGGATATAATGGGAGTATGTATGAAATAATATCTATTATCTGCACTGGGTAAAATTATAGACACTCACAGGCTAAATCGTATTTCCAGTAGAATGACCATGGAGTTTGTGAAAACTGAAAGCTTTTCTATGAACACAAATGTTTACTGAATAATTATCTTATATAAAGGAACATACACTTTGATCTGCCTACATATTATTATCAAAAATCCATTGCTATAGTTCCAGTAAGTCCTTTTTGAGGCCAAGCATAGAACTCATATGCAATGGATATTTTGAATCCAATATATGCTTTTCTTCTGCACTAATAGTTAACCTGAAAAATCAGGGAAGCTACAGAGTTTTCAGTAAAAACTAACACTAATTTAAACCAGAATTTGAAGTAGTAGAGGTTCATGTAAAACTCTTTTCTCTAGATATGAGGAAGGGAAAAGGGAGAAACATACCTGGGGTAAAAAGATCATTATGAGAATTGCCAGTAAGAGTTTTATAAACTATCCTATAATTTAGAAACAAGTGAATCTGAAATATTTAAAGAAAGCTAAACTATTGAAATCAACATGCATCCAGTTTAAATACACTAACCTACTGGACAAAGACTATATTTTACAAGTGAAACAATTATGCATCATACCTGATCCAAATACTTACATTTATTCAGTGAAGAATGATAATCTATGCTATGAGATTAGAATCTCATAGAATGATTTATAGTGACAAATTGTAGTTTTTCCTTTGCTTTCACATTATGCACAATTTATTAACTTCTAATCCTGACATAACAAGAACACTGAAAGAAACCACTTAAACACTATATGGTATTTGAATACGTGTTTAAAGGTTTCTCATCTTGGATCTAAACCTATTCTCCTATATTATCCTGTCCTGATAAAGCAAATAGGATAAAATCATGAATCATTTAGAAGGCTTCCAAGCCGCTTTGTCAGTGTCTAAATACAGATGTTATAACAGTAAGACATATAATGTATGAAATCAAATATAAAATCTAACTTTAACTTTTAAAGGTTATCATGCAGTAACTTCCATTCTGCTTAACTGCCAGTGAAACTTTTAAAAATGAATTCATAGCATAGGTTAAATCAACATCTTTACTCTCAGTCTGGTGGGAATAGAGAAAGTCTATTAATTTCCTGACCTAAAAGAGTGGTTCTGTTATTTTACTTCTATGTAAAATAAGATTTTTTTTAAAAAAAATCAGTGATTGAAAATGTATGAGTAAGTTTCTGGTTTTTATCTAAGATGGCATTAAAAATAATGTAAAACATATTATTTGAAGAGGTGCTATTGATTCCAAGTATTATTCTACTGATTTTTTTCTCTTTGACTGCATAAAAAACCTATAAGGGGAATAAACTTTTCATAAAGCAAAGAATAACACCATGCCTGCTATTTTTTATCACACACAATTGCACTTTTAAGAGTTCTTACAAATAGTTTGCATGATAGGACAGATTGCTAGTGAAGTATTAAATTCTATACAATGTTGACAATTGTATTATTTTTGGAATGTAATATGTTTTATATCTTTTCTTTATGATAGTAAATATTATTTAAAACTTTTACTATACCATACCCCATACTACACCATACCCTACAATACCCTCCCACTACACTCCCCCATACTAGTGTCTCTTTCGAAACAAGCCTTGACAAGCAGTAAGAAATTAGAATGTAGAATTGTTTTTTAAAAAACTAATTATTTCAACCTTTTAATTGTTTAGATTTTATTTAAAATATTGTTTTTAGCTATAAATATCAATTCACTTAGCTTTTGCATAGAAATTACTCTGTATAAGTCATTAGCAAATATATGTAGAATGTGTGGTTTAAATGTCATTATTTTTTTAAAAAAACGTAAGTTTATGTTAAAAACTATTTTTCACTGCATATTTTACTTGTCATTATTTTGCTTTTATTTGAAACAAAAAGCTGAAGACTTATTTATAAAACCTATAAGGCAATCTTTCTTATATATAAAAATCCTAGCAACTAACCAACTCTCACCACCATGTAGTCAACCACACTGCTGCAACATTCATAAACTTACATTTTCTGGCTCACTTCTATCCTAGCCAAAAGTCTGAGTGAAGAGCTAGGTCTTCAAAGCCCTTCAGAAGTTAAAGGGTAAATCTCAAGGGACAGGCTGTTCCAAAGGGTCAGGGCAGCTACTGTGTCTTAAAAGTCCCACCAGAGGTAATATTTAAGAAAAGGGACTTAGACAAACCATGTTATCTGATCTGGTAGGATGAACAGAAACCTTGAGGTGGTCCTACAGCCATTTAAGGCTGGAAAGTAGTAATCAACATTGAATTGCACCCAGAAAACAACAAGAAGTTAGTACAGCTTGTGCAGCAATGGTAAAACATAGGCAAAGCTCAAGCACACACTGCTGCATGCTGGACCAGTTGTAACTTCTGGGTGATCTTCAAAGGTAGGTCCATATAGAGCACACTGCAGTAATCCAACAGATAGGTGATTAAGGCATGAGTGACAGCGAGCAAGGCCTCCTGGTCCAGAACACATGTGATGACAAATGTTTATATAACACAGGGAAAAAAATCAAACAAATGTGAATTTCCAACATTAAGACTGTGCTCTGAAGATAGAAATTGATCTTTTCTATGTTTAGATTTTTCCCCCCACAGTGATTCCAACTCTTTAGTATTTATTGCTTATACAATAAGTTAACAAGGTACTAAGATTTAGATAGTTTCATGATTTCTCACATTCCATTTATGCAAACATATGTTTTTGCAAGGTTTGCTTTAAGTTCATACATGTAATAACACATATAGTATTGCGGTAAAAATTAGGCAATAGTAAATATGCCTATAAATGTTTTTCTGCTTTGCTGTGCTTAAAATTAAAATGTATATGTGAGCTCAATTGGAGCTATACTTTTTTGGTTTACATTTGCTATATGGAAAGGCTGGTTGAATGAGATTCCTTTCATCGTGCAGGCATTACTGTCTTTGCTACAGTAATAGAGGCACACATTGATTGACAATAAAGCGTCGGCTGACAGGCAGTTAGTGGGTAGCTGAAATGGGATTATAGGCTGTTCAAATATGTCTGCAATTGTCCCAGATCTATGAGGATCACAAAGTAGCCATTCATTACCTAGAAAAGAAAATGTAGTCTATTACAATTTGATGAGTTCATCTAATCATAAAACATTATTATTAAGGTTTGTACTAAAACAACTATAGAGGAACTAGTGGAAGACTTTCAACAAGACAGAATCAGATTAATGCAGGAATAAACTACAATTTGAAGTATATAATTATTCAAGTGCTTCAAAGTTTTATAAAAATGTATATGTAAATGAAAAAACTTGGTATTTACATACAGGTCATTTAAAAAAAAAATCCTTTTCGGTTACCCTAAAAGCAGCCTCCTTCTCAATGCAATAAACGTTTCATTAGTTCAATCAGCTTCATTTTTTCCCAATTGACTAAAAGATTGTAATTAAATGTAGGTTACAAAAATTGTTATAATAAAATGTTTTAATTGTGGGCTGTACATTCTATTTAAAATTGATGTTACAAAGTCAGGAATAGGTTTAAATGAAAATTCTGTAAGATAATAAGGATATATCTATCCGTAAGGTTTTTATTTTTTTTAAACCAAGCCTCTACCACCTAAGTATTTGGATAACAGAGAAGCAGAAATTTAGCATGTATCTCCTATAAACAGGAACATGGACTCTTTTACCTTCTGCAGTAAAAAACCAGGAGCTAGGTGCTTCTTCAGTCAGTTTGGCATTTGGAGGCAAGTTGAGCATCAGCACGAACTGAAGAGCTTGGCCTGGACTTACAGTCAATGAAGGTAGCTGTAAATGTGAAGCCGATTTAGGGAGCCTTGGTAGTTCTGCTTTATCAGTCATTTTAATACTCCCTGTAGTTATAGTGTCTACTGTGTCAACGTGTAGAAGGGGAAGCTATCAAAGCAATAGAGAACATGTTAATTTTTCAGATATAATTTCATATTCTAAAATTTGAAAAAACAAATGTCATTATCATGCTGATTCAGATGGGATTTTAAGAGCAAGTATTGCAAATTGAATTACTGACAACCTCAGCAAAGACCAAGGGAATGATGCATGGGCTGGTTTCTTGGATCCTTTCTAGATAAGGAAAGGATGGGATATCACCCACACGTGGTCCAGACGGCTGCTCCTCATGAGGCAATGCAGGACAGTGGTGATGGCTGTGATCTGGAATGTTCTCTATGTTCATTATGATGATACATTTTAGACCCTTGTTAATAAGTCTCCACGTTTACTGTATTTACCGGACTATAGAGCGCATTGGAATATACACCACACCCACTAAATTTTAAATTGAAAAAATATTTTTACATATATTAGCCGCACCAGACTATAAGCCGCAGATATATACATTGTGAAATGAGATATTTACACAGAATCTTTGCATGTGGCCAGACATCTCCAACGTCTCACCATTGATTCATTAACGCCAAGCTTACGTGCAGCAGCTCTATTTCCTTCCTGGATAGACAGATTGATTCTTTCAACTTAAAAGCTGCATCATATGCTTTTCTTCGTGTACTTTCCATGATGAGGGTATGAAAAATATTTTGGGTTTGTGCGTGTCGTGCTGCTTGCGTCGAGTGCGCCAAAAACTACCAGTAGCGTCTTCTTCTTTGCATTGACCTCTTGCGTCTGTCACGTTTTTGCACCCCCTGATGGCAGTTAGCGAAGAAAAATCTATAGATAAGCCGCATTGTTGTACAAGCCACAGGGTTCAAAGCGTGGGAAAAAAGTAGCGGCTTATAGTCTGGTAAATACAGTATTCTATTTATTTATTTATTTATTTTTATTTATTTGTCAATTGCTTACAAGATAATAGGTATAAGTAAAAAAAAGTTATGAATACATGGATACATATAAGAAAAATAAAAAGAAAAGAAAAGAAACAATAGGACAGGGATGGTAGGAACGTTGGTGCGCTTATGCATGCCCCCTACAGACCTCTTAGGAAAAGGGTGAGGTCAATAGTAGACAGTCTAAAGTTAAAGTTGTTGGGGTTTGGGGAAAAAACCACAGGGTCAGGTAGAGTATTCCAGACATTGACCACTCTGTTGCTGAAGTCGTATTTCCAGCAATCAAGTTTGGTGTGATTAATCTTGAGTTTGTAGCTATTGTTTGCTCTAGTGTTGTTATGGTTGAAGCTGAAGTATTCATTGACAGGTAGGACATTGCAATGTATGATTTTATATACTATACTTAGATCGGACCAAAGGCGGTGTAGTTCTAGGTTTGCTAGGTTTAGAATTTCGAGTTTGGTGGTATAAGATATTCTGCAACGAGTAGAGGAGTGGAGAACTCTTGTGAAATATTTCTGGACTTTCTCAACTGTGTTAATATCAGATACGTAATGTGGGTTCCAGACTGATGAGCTGTATTCAGTATTGGTCTAGCAAATGTTTTGTATGCTCTAGTTAGTAGTGTAATATTACCAGAGAAAAAGCTACGTAAGATTAGGTTAACAACTCTTAATGCCTTTTTGTCTATGCAGTGGGCTCTAGCACTTAGGTCATTTGAGATGAGTACTCCAAGATCCTTGACAGAGTTTGGATCATCAACAAGGTCTTGACTATTCAGCCTGTATTTTATTTTCTGATTTTTTTTTGCCAATATGTAGGACAGAGCATTTATTTGTTGAGATTTGAAGTTGCCATTTGTTTGACCATTCTGATACATAGTGAAGGTCTTTTTGAAGGGTAGCAGTATTGTCTGTGGTGTCAGTATTGTCCTCACTTCCTGAGGGCCTTCTTAGTATGAATGTTGGAAGAAAGCTTTCTCCCCTTTCCCCCTCATTTTTAATCAATATATATTTGTATTGAATAAAATGCACTGTTTATGTTGTGTAATATAAAATTTTATTATGTATTCATTTAAGTTTTTATTGTAAATTGCCTCAAGATGCTTTGACAATGGAAGCACTCTTCAAATATTTTAAGCAAATTACATTTTAAAAATCGATTTCAATGCATTGAAATAATGAAATGAAATAATGTTGTTCAGGATAATGAAATACTTCGTTTCTAAATGCCATGAAAGGTGATTTCCATGACATGGCCAAAGCTACAGAAGCAGCACTGTAGAATATTCTTTGAAGTACATTGGGAATAGGCAGGATTGTAATCCTTTCTGAACATCGTACAAGCAAGTCTTAGAGTGGTATCGATAATATGAATTGAAAGAGTATCTGCTGGATAACATCTTCTGCCCCATCCTTTCTCACTCTTTTCCTAATAGTCTATTTCTGTTGCAGAGGTTCTTAATTTAGTAGAGTACAGGCTGATATTAAAAAAAATCCAAATATTTACTTCATTTGCATTCAAATGATTCAATAATATGGGCCTTATTTCCAGTTTATGGGGAAATGAACCGAAGGAACATGTGGTTCTTAAAGAAGCTCAAAAGAGCAAGATGAGATTAAATCATATCTCCAATATCTATGTCAAAATAAGTTCTGAAAGCAGAGGTTTTTCTATTTCAACTTATTCTAATGGCACTAGTGTCCTTTCTAACCTCTTAAAACAGATGGAACATTTATTTTAAGCTTAACAGGATATCCTTAACACAAAAGCAATTCTGTTTGCCAGGCCATTATAAAACACTGCAATAATGCATGTATAATGCAATCCAGGTATTAGAATTAAATTTAGTTCTAATAATTTATTTTCAAATAGAAAATTCTATCCATATTTTTTATATAGTAACTTACCAGTGAAACAGTACGGGTTTCTAAATCTATCACTTTAATTTGATGGTTGTTGGTATCTGCAATATAAAGGAACTGTCCTCCATCTTCAACACATAGCCCTCCTGGTTCATTAAAAGTTGATGTGGTAATGCTGGACCCAATTATGTTGCTTGCTTCTCCTGTACCTGCTAAAGTGGCACAATTCTTCATTTTGGGATCTACAAATTTAATCTAGAACAAAACAAACAAGACATTGTAGAACATAAAGTAATATTATACTATTTTTGAATTTTAATATGAATGTCCTTATAAATCATAGTCCTATCCATATTTAAAATGACTACAAAGAGATTATATTGTTAGGTTGATCTAGAAATTTACAAAATACTTTAAAAAAACATATAGGAACAAAGATTGACTAATATCAAAATAATTACTAATGGCAACCCAGTGATATTAGCCTTTGTAGTGCTTCATAACTCAAATTAATAATAGTTCCCACATTTTTGTACATGCATAACCACCACACTATTCTCTTTTCAGGTGAGTAACTTTATAATGTACATAAAAATAGTAAAAAGTAGTAAATAAAACAAATTAAAGACACAGAACAATAAAAAATAAAAGGAAATCTAAACTCAGTTTTCACCAGCAATATTCATTATCCTCTTTAGCATATTTCTGTTCTTGAAACAATGCTAGTTTCTACATCCGTGCACTAATTCATACATTGCTTCAGTATTTTACTTTTAAAATATTGTTATTTATGATTTAGGTTCTACTTTAAATATCCTGCTATATGAACTTACTATACTATAGTAAATGTCATTTGCACTCTTACTGGTATCTTAGAAATTGTTTAGAGCAGGGGTTGCCAACCTTTTGGACCTCAGGGACCACCAAACTCATAATTTTAAATCCCGCGGACCACTAATATGAATTTTGACTGACGATTTGCTGACGTTGGTGGGAAAGTCGGTCCCATATTCCAGAGCTTCAGTAGTCACAGGACTGTCCCTTTGGTCATCCTGGAACATCTGCTCCTCCACCTGAGTGCATTGGCCTGCCATGAATTGGAAGAGCTGCTCCAGGATGACCAAAGGACCAGTCTTGTGACTACTGCAGCCCTGGAATATGGGATTGACTTTTCCACCAATGTCAGCAAGCCACCCTGGGGCAGATTTCCCTCCTCCACTGTTGGTCTTACCTTCCAGTTCCAGCTTGCGTGGCTCTAGGTAAGGCTCAAGGTAAGGTTTGCACTTGGCCAGCGGGTGAGGGCCAGCGGGTGGGCGGGCCATGTGGGTTGAAGAGGAGTTATGTTCCCGCACAGTCTGGATTAATTGCTTTGGGGAAGTGCTTTGGGGGTGACATTTCTTTGAGCACCACCAAAATTTTCTCGTGGACTACCAGTGGTCCCCGGCCCACCGGTTGGCGACCACTGGTTTAGAGTTCACAGTGTTTTTATTGTCCTTTTGCTTTCTTTCCTATCTTATGGCCTTCTATGCTTTGTCCTTTTATTTTTTGTGTGTGAAACTGGTTGTTTTATTTGAGACCAGTGATTGTAGTAAAGATTATCACTCAATCAACCAATCAATCATATATTCTTTTGTTTTTTAAACTTCTCAATTGATACGTTGAGAAGATATTCTTTAATGATATTTAGGATTGGCCGTGGGAGATGGGGGACAAAGAGATGCTACCTAGGAAACCATCAGGTAAGAGAGTGCACAGTCCACAGCTGGACAATGGAGGGCAAGAGGCTCATTTTTCTTGTGCTGTAAAGGAAGATCTGTACTTTCAGGCTTGTAAGATTCTGTTAATGTGGCCTTACAAGAAAATAGAATTAGCTCATCAAGTTGTGTTTCCCGTCTGGTCTACCTGGTAAGGCTCATATAACCCTCTCTTTTTAAGGATTCCATCAATTCTGTTGAACAATAGCTTTCTCAGTCTTGCCCTTCCTCTTGACTATCATTTTTCTGTTATATATATTAGGTTTTGAGATTCCAATAAAGGAGAATATTTGTAGCTCGGGGTTGAAATGAAGGGTCCCAGGATCTCTCTGAGTTTGGATTTTTTTTGTTGCAGACATTTCAGTACCCAAATTAGATAACATTATTAGTCCTAAGTTGATGGGTTTTACCTAGTTTGGGTAATGAAATGTCTGTTAGAAAAGAACTAAGATCAGATAGCTCTAAGGATCCCTCAGTTTTGAGATGGTATCACATCAGTTTTAACATGTTCCTTTGTCTGAAATCTCATTTCTATGTTCAATCCACATTAATTCAGCACCTATACATTAATGATCTTATATTTTCTTATTTTACCACACGTGTTTCTTAAGTAACCCATTCCCATTGCATTTAGCATTTATTTATTCTCATACCAACTCTCACTTCTGTATAATAAAGCAGGAAGTACAATCTTTCTTCTTATTTTTATCAACATTAATTTCCTTTGACAGATCATATTATCCCCTTCTTTTCTAACATTATTTTGACATCTTAAAGTATCTCCATCCATTTCCATATATTTAATAACATTTTACCAAGGAACACAAATTCATCAACTTGCTGTAATGTTTATGGGTTAGATTCATAAACGTGACTAGTATAACATTTACAAAGCGGGGATTAAATCATAAAGTAATGGAGACTTTAACCTCTAAGAGTAGGAGCTAGGTTTAGGAGGCTAGATTTTTGCAAGTCAGAAACTTTGGCTATTTCAACAATCAACAGCTGCCAAGATTCAAGGCTGCAAAACACAAGGCTGCAGGAAAGGCGGGAAAGAGAAACACAGATGTTAACCATTGGGCTACAAGAACAGTCTTCTTCTGAAGCTGACAGAAGATAATCAACTGTTTATCGTCATTTCATCCTAGTATGCAATTAAAAGTCCTGTCTAGCTCTGAATGTGCTGTGGATCTGGCTAGGCTTTTAGTAAGTTGAATCATGGGAGTCTGACACTAACCTTTTTTCAGTTTGTTGGGTAAAAAAAAAAGAAATATTTTTATCATTTTGACTCCATGTTTAGTACTCTTTACCTGTTATTCATCAATTGTTAGAATTCATTTGTTTGATTTCAATCTAAGAAACTTTCCTGAGGTACTTTATACAAATTCAAAATATGAAATATAAAAAGGAACTGCAATAATACATGCAAATATACAAAGAGATGTACCATTGTATTCTGCAATACAAAGTTTTGTATTACTGAATAATAAACTAGATTTTCTAGTGAAAATGAAGTGTGCAACATCACCTTATGATTATAGGAATCTGCAACATAAAGGAGGCTTCTTTTCTTGTCCCAAGCTACTCCTAGTGGGTGCTGTAGTTTTGCATTCGTCCCAGCTCCATCAACATCACCAAAAGCAAATAAATTCTTAAAAAAATATTTGGGAAGTATTGTAATTATTATTAAATTACATTTTTAATCAAACTTAGTAATAATCAGTGTGACTTGTTAAAACATTAACTTGAATTAAAAGTAGACTCATAAAAATCATTTTTTTCTTGACAATAAACGATAATTTGGCATTAATCTCAGAACTAACCTACATATATCTATTGGGTTATCGCTAGAACTATGAAAAGTATTACTGTTTCAGGCCAGAAGGCTATGCAGAGAATGATGAGGACAGCAGAAAAGGTTATTGTGAACTTCCTTCAATGTAGGACATGGCATATAAGCGATGCTTGATCCGGGTCTGCAGTATTGTCAGGGATTCTACATATCCTGTCCATGACTGGTTTTCCTTGTTATCTTCTGGGAGAAGACTTTGCAATATCAGAAGCAGAACAACCAAACTCTGTAACAGCTTTATACCATATAGTATCAATCTTGTTAACTATATATTCAAAATTGGCTATGATTTACATATGAACACACACATATGTTTTGGTGTAATTTTTGTATAATTTGGCATTTTTTGATGCTGCTGCTGTCAGTATGTATGTATGTATGTATGTATGTATGTGTATGTATGTATGTATGGTATTCAGCTTTGTTTGGGTATTTTCCCATGTCATTATAGTTGTGCTTTTAAAGTTGTAGCAACATTTCGGCAGAATCTCATCTGCCATCATCAGGCTTCTGTATAGTGTTCGTCTATGAGCCAGACTTTTACAGTTGTTTCAGTTTTAAATTTGGGGCTAGCCTACTGCTGTGCCAGAATGGTTTTTTCTTCATCCTGATTGGTTGGGAGTCTTGGTCTGTGTTTATTGGTCTTGGAGTTTGCTGTGGTCTGCTTGATTGGTGTTTCTAATATCTTCTGTCTGTTTTGTGGCTTTTTTTTGTCTTGATTGGCTGGCAACATTGTGTTTCCTGTATTGGAGGCTTTTAGTGCGGCTTGGCTCCGAGTAAATGGACGGCTATCATTTATTAGGAAGCTAGGTTTCATCTGGGTGCCTGGATGGGGTGTGTTTGAACTGGAGGTATCAGGGGGAGTCTGTTTGCCTGGCTTGTGTTTGCCAGGCAGGTGTTTGCCTGGCTTGTGGTGTGGAGATTTTTTTATTTGAGAGTGCAGGTTTCCAGACAATTGAGAGTCTGGTGGAGTCATCTCTTCTGTTCATGCTTTCATATACAAAGGACAAAGATACAAGCAAATTGAAAGAGCCCCCATGGGATCACCACTGTCACCTGTCATTGCAAACCTGTTCATGGAAGAATTCGAATCCAGAGCCCTAGCCAATGCCACCCACAAACCCAAACTATGGCTAAGGTACATCGATGACGCATTTGTTATTTGGCCCCATGGAAAAGAAAACCTAAACAATTTCCTAACACACCTAAACAGCACACACCCAAAAATCAAATTCACCATAGAAACGGAAACAAACAAACAACTACCATTCCTAGATATACTAATCTACAAAAAAACAGATGACACACTAGGACACACCATATACCAGAAGAAAACACACACCAACCGCTACCTCAATACCCAATCCCACCACCACCCAGCACAGATAAACTCCGTGGCCAAAACACTAATTGCCAGAACCAAACACCTGGCAGAAAAGACACACATAAAGACTGAACTATGCACCCTGACTAAAGTACTGACAGCCAATGGCTTCCACAAAAGCAAAATCACCGGCTTGATCCACAAAAACACACTGAGACATAATGGAGACCTAGAAGATGAACAGACGTATAGAACAGCTGTCCTGCCCTACATAAGAGGTACTAAAGACAAAATCAGTAAGATACTACACAGGCATCACATCAAGACTGCCTTCAAAACAGACAGAAAAATAGCAGCCATCCTAAGAAACCCCAAAGATAAAATTGACCTGGAAAACCAAGGCATATATGAAGTCCCCTGTGCATCATGCCTGGTCACATACATTGGACAGACCAATAGAAGAATAAGTACCCGCCTGGATGAACACAAAAATGCAGTAAAAAAGCTGGAACACACTTCCTCACTAGTCCAACACATGAAAGCAACAGGTCATAGCATCAACTTCAATGGCACCAAAACCCTAGCCACTATAGAAAACCCCAGCTACAGAATTATCAGAGAAGCCCTAGAGATTGAAAAAAGACCTGAAAGCATGAATAGAAGAGATGACTCCACCGGACTGTCAATTATCTGGAAGCCTGCACTCTCACCACAAACACCTGGCACAAACAGACTCCCCGATACCTCCAGCTCAAACACACCCTAACCAGGCACCCAGATGAAACCTAGCTTCCTAATAAATGATAGCTGTCCGTTTACGCGGAGCCAAGCCACACTAAAAGCCTCCAATACAGGAAACACAATGTTGCCAGCCAATCAAGACAAACAAAGCTACAAAACAGACAGAAGATATTAGAAACACCAATCAAGCAGAACACAGCAAACTCCAAGACCAATAAACACAGACCAAGACTCCCAACCAATCAGGATGAAGAAAAAACCATTCTGGCACAGCGTTATTATCATTTTCCTGTATACACAATGACACACATTAAAATAAAATTCCTATGAACTGCTCTCTCTCTCTCTCTCTTTCTCTTTCTCCATATATTATATATATCATCAGGCTTCTGTATTTGGCTAGAACCAAAATTAAAACAGAAACGGCTGTGAAAGCCTGACTCACAGACGAACACAATAAAGAAGCCTGATGATGGCAAATGAGATTCTGCCGAAATGTTACTACAACTTTAAAAGCAGAACTATAATGACGTGGGAAAATACCCGAACAAAGCTGAATACCATACATATAAATATCCGTGAAAACTTAAGAAAACAAATCTATTTATCTATCTATCTATCTACCTCTAAATGTATGTATGTATGTATGTATGTATGTATGTATGTATGTATGTATATATGTTCTATTTCAAAGAGGAGGGGTTTGGTTGATCTTGGAAATGTGGAATATTCCTAAACTAGCTCTCATGTATCTGTTTTTATGCAACAGAACAATAAAAGCTCTTCCAATACCTATGTTTTGCTGATGTAGGGTGAATTGTGCCACTAATCATGATTTTCTTTTTAAATTATTGTGGTTAGTTTTTTTAAAAAATATTCATTTTAATTTGTCTTCATTGGCTTGTTTTTATCTGTTATGAGTTGCCCAGAATCACTTAAAGATGGGCAGATAATAAAATAAAATAAAATCTCAAAAAAATGAGTTTGTTTTTTCTTCTGAATCAGTAAATGATGCAGACTAGTCCTCGCCATTTTTTGATTAACCTTTTTTAAAAACTTATGTCTGCCTTCATTTCAAAACATTAATGGCTATTTTAAAATATTTCGATTAAAGGATGTGAATGGCAAAATTCAACTTTTTGTTAACCACTAATAGGAGAAGATTGTTTATTATTTAATATTGCAACTATTTTTTCCTAAAACAAAATTTGAAAACAAATCTTCATTGTCCCTTCTGGTTTCACAGCAGATATATCTGCTTACTGGCATGAATCTGAAGATTATTAGCAGACTAATTCAACTGTACTGAAAGCTAATCTTTTTTTTAATGATCTCAATTAACTATTGTAATAAGTAACAAATAAAATGTGACCAACTGGCATTTAAAATAAGCTTTTATCCATGGGGATCAGAGATTTTCTGATCTGGCTGTGTAGGATCAATGGAAAACAGAGAAATACAGATTTAGATTACCATTGGATCTCTCTCGCCTCCTACAAGGAGTTTCACACTGCCATCTTTTAGACAAATTATTCGCACAGTACTACTCTCACTATCTGCAACAAAAAGGCAATTCCATGGATCTTCAGCAGCAACAGAGAGACCAGAAGGTTGAGCAAAGCCTGCTTTGTGGGGATATGCATTGTTTCGGTTCTCTTCATTTCCACTTCCAGCAAATCGAAGACAAGTTCCTTTCTTCAAATCACTTTTAAAAAAGGATAGGAGTGAGATTTACATAGGCTCTACACGCACTTGAACCTACAATTTATACAACAAGTTACATTCAACGTGTTTGATGCTATGAACAAAAATAAGCTTTCTTTTCCATATTTTTTAAACTATGAAATAATTCAAAAAGTATTTTATGCAATGTTCAGTGATATAATACAGACAGAGAGGGAGACAGAGATCTCTATATTGTATGTAACACTTGCTAATCTTTTTAAAAGTTATTTCTTTTATAACTTATTTTTCTCCAAGAACTCAATTAGCTTACAAGATAGATTTAGTTCATTTTACCTCCACAATAGCAACCCTTTCCTAGCAACCTTAATCAAGAAGACAACTTGATTACAGCAATGATAAATGTACTGTTGGAAGATTTGAAGGGGCAGGTCAGGATAGATCACCCAGGATAAGGTCCATCTACATGGTCATTAAGAATTAACATCAATTTGTCGGTGCATCATCATCAATGAATCAACATTGCTTTAATAAAAACAGAACATGCCCATTCAAATCCTGATTATTCCAAATAGTTTGCATTTCTTTCTGAATAGTTGGATAAACTAGACTGACCTAGACTGAGAAGGTATGTATAACAATATTTAGTAGTGCAATCAGATTATCATCACCTATTCTTAGGCGAATTGGGTAGCAAACAAGTCTAATAAATAAATACTGTAAACAAATAATATGATCATAGGATGATGGTAAGGCAGTCTAATATTCTGACTTACCTTCCTTTAGGTAGTTTTCCACATTCCAACATAAGCGCCCAGATTTGATGTGTGCCTGCCATGGCAATCCAAAGAACACCATCTTCGTGAGTTGCTGAAACAATAAGAACACATGAGTAAAAGTGACAATAAATGACCTTTTGGTAGCAAATTGCTTCATTCCTTATATAACAATAACTTCAAATTGCTCTGTAGACATCTTTTCATTCTGCATTTGGATAATTAAAATGCTCTATATAATTCTATTTTTATAATACAGTACAAAATTTATCCCCACCAGCAGTTGTGCCTGCGTTTTGCAAGTTAAAGTAGTCTAGGCTTTAAATACTTGACAGGTACTTATGAAACAGGTGATTTCTAAGTATATGCAAAAAAAAAAAAATCCAGAACAAAAAATGCCATTAAACATTTACCATTTCCGGAGTCCGGTTTCGCGCGGCTTCGGTGGCAGCAGGAATTCGCGACTGTCCGCGATTCCTGCTGCGCTTGCTGCCAAGGTGCCCCCGATCCAAATGGGTCAGGGGGATATGGCTGCCCTGTAGAGGCAGCCGAAGAGAGAGGGGAGCCGGACAGGGGGTTGGGGGGTGTCACAGACCCCCTCCCCGTCCGGAAAAACCCCTTTTTCCCGAGGTGGTGGAGCAGCGGTCAGTAATGGCCGCCATGAAGAAGCCTGCAGCCGGGTAAGATTGTGCTGGAGGAAGCAGGAAAAGTGAAAGTGCTGTCAATCAACAACTTTTAAACACCCTGGAAACTGAATCGTTTGAATTGCTGGAAGATACATTGTATCCCTAAGAAGCGGAAAGCGGCGGAGAAAGCTGTCAAGGGGAAAAAAACCTTTTTTTTCTCTTCACTCTCCCACCCCATAGAAACAGCAGATGAAGATTTGGAAAATTTATCTGGGCACTGAAGGTAAATTATCTTGAAAGTTAAAGCCAAGGGATAAAGGATTCCTGGACATTGGATTTAATAACTTAAGAAATCGGAAAACCCTTATTGGAGGTATGGATTTCTGAATACTTAAAAGAAAATTGTTGTTGTAAGTGGGAAGGGAGAGGAAAAAAAATTGGAGCAGAAGTTGAAAAAGGAGGAGATTGCCTAGAACTTTAAAGAAAGATATATTGTAATTGGATCTCTTTGATCAAACAGTAACCCCAGAAAGAGAAATAGAAGAAAGAACTTTGGTAACTTTGGAATTTTTTGCAATTATTTTTGATTAAAAATACTTGGGTGGTTGTTTTGGAAAAAGTTTTTCTCTTCACGATGGCATCGCTTGTGGATGAACTAAAAATTGAATATCAAAAATATAAAAAAGAAAAACAAGATGGAAAAGATACTTTGGGCACTCTATTTCAATTTCTAGAAATGGCGGTATGCACTTATGAAAAGTTGACTACGCAGCAGGATGATTGGGACAAAGAAGAAGAAGAAGCCATCTTTGATGAACAATGGGTTCTTTTTGGGGAGGAGGAGAAAGAGGAAAAGAAAAAGGGGATTTTAAGGTTTGAAAAAACAACCAAAAAAGAGAAAAATGAGATGAAAGGTGGATACAAGGTTAGAAAACAACAGAAAGGGAGTAAGAAAAGGGAGGAGGAGAGACAAAGGGGTAAAAAGGGCAAGGAGAAGAATAAGCAAGAGAGAAAGGAGGGGATGAGAAGCCTTAATGGTGGGAAGCAAGACTTAAAGAAACAAAGCTTATTTAGAGACAATGGGTAAATCTAATTGAAAAAAGGGATTCTGGAAGGTACATAAGATTGTGTTTTTATATGTGTATTTAGAGTAAAATGCTTAAGATATAAATGAGTATCAATATATATGGTTAGCTTTTTAATGATATGGATAGTGGTTATATATGATTTTACTTAGTTATTGTTATGTTTTTACCCCTTTCATAAAATTTATTGTGTAACTTTAGAATGTACTAAACAGAATCCCAATATAAATTAAGTGTTATATTAATTAATTTTAAGCTAGGGGAATGAGTCAAAGGCGTCACTCCAATCAGTGTACAGGAGAAGTATATTAAAAGAGAAAAGATGAATGGATAATGGAAATAGAACAGACAAAGAATGATAAGTATTATGAACTGAATTGAGATAAGATAAATAAAACAAAATTAAGAAAGATAAACGAGGGAAGAAGCTATATAGAAAGTTGAAAATGGTAATAAGATATGGAACGATATATAAAGTGAATATGATTTTTGAACTTGTGTCTGTGCGAAGAGTCTTTAGCCCGGGATCAAACAGCCTTCACAAAAGATGTTTTATGTGGTTTTTTTTATGTTTTATGTTTTGTATGTTTGTGTATTGTTTATGAAAGGCAATAAAACTTTAATTAGCAAGAAATATAATTTGGATAATAGAATGAAAAGGAGAAGTTGGGATAAGATACGAAGTTGAATAGATAACGTAAATATCTATATTACAATTTGGAACTATTTTGTACGTTCTATTGGTTTTTTTAGAAAGGATTTTTTATGTTATTATGCCTTGATTGTTTGTGTATTGTTTTTGTAAAACTAATAAAATTTGTTGAAAAAAAAAACATTTACCATTTCCTAAAATGGGAAATGTTTGTAATAATTGTGCAACTAATGATACATCAGTGGTGAGTATTGTAGGATGGAAGCTCATTAACAATTTCAACTGATATGAAAACTAGCAAAGGACTAATATTAATTCTAACTATGAATAGAAATATTTTGTGGCACTGGACTGCTTAACACTGTAGCAGTTAACAGTAATATTTAATTGTGTTTATTGTTGTTCTAAGACTCTAATTCAGCAAAGGCTTCTGTACTACAATATTAAAAATATTTTTGGTAACTTCTACCTCTTTGATTCAGAATTTTGTGGTAATCTCAGAAAAAAGAGTCGCTTTGAACCCTGAGATGAACAACAAATAAATTCAATACAAATCATCATCATCATTAAACATCAACATCTGCCAGGTCCTGACTTACTAGATAGATAAAAACGTGAAATCCAGTCTAAACATCTGGCTGAATGTACAACAAAGAACAACAACAACACAAAGGTAATTAACACTTGGGCAGTGCCTGTAATATAATACTCAGCTGGGATAATTGATTGGACTCAGCTAGAACTTGATAACCTGGATTGAAAGACAAGAAAACTAATGACAATGCACCATGATCTGCATCCAAAAAGTGACGTTGATGGATTGTACTTGTCAAGATCTCAGGGTGGCAGAATTCTCTTACAGGTAAAAACAAACTGTGGAAGAGGAAATACATGGCTTAAATGACTACTTTAAAAAAAGAAAAAGAACCTCTGCTGAAGGAGATGAACAAGGGTAAACTCTTGAAACAAGACTGAAAGCAGAATATCGAAAGGAAATAATTGAGCATTGGGTTTTTAACTGGAAAAAGAAGTCTATGCGCAGTCAATACCTGAACATCATTGAAGGAAAGGTAGATAGAAAACTAACATGGAGTTTGAGATTAGGTATGCTGAAAAAAGAAACTGAAGGCTTCATTTTGGCTGCCCAAGAACATAACTTGCAGACCAATTCCATGAAAGTAAAAATTCAAAAATGTCAGCAACAACAGCAAATGTTGCTTATGCAATGAGAAAGATGAAATAGTGTATCACCTTATCAATGGCTGTAGCGTCTCACAGCCTGATTATCTACATAGTCATGATAGAGCTGTCAAAATTATACATTGGAAGCTGTGGATTGAATGTAGCAAAAATGACTGGAAACACCAAATTGACAAAGTCAAGATCCTATGGGACTGTCAGATCCAAACATATGGCCCACAATACCATGACATCACTATTGTGGAAAAGAAAAAAGTCTGATTCATTGGTATTGCAATACCATATGATGCATGAATTGAAGAGAAATAGCTAAAAAAAATAACAAAATATCGTGATTTGCAAATTGAAATTGAGTGACTATGGAGAAAGAAATGAATGGTTGTTCCAACAGTAATAGGAGCACTTAGAGCAATACCCAAAGGGCTGCCTAGATAGATGGAAATTTTGAACTTATTAGGCCTGAATATTCTGACTTTGCAAAAAAACCATCCTACATGGAACTGCTATATATTCAGACACTACCTTAATAGCTCTTAGGTCCTTGGTTAGAACTTTTTATTTTATTGAATTGAATTTTATTTATTGAATTGAAGATTAAATCTTAAAAAATAATACAAGAGTTAGCAAAGAGAGATAGAAAAGAATTTAAAAATTAGAAAACATTGATTTAATATAGTAGTCTAATGCCAATACTAATGTCATTGCAAAGGTTACCCAAATCATAAGCGCTAGTGATGTCTTACAAAGGCATATGCTGTGTATCATTAGATTATACCATACACTTTCTTGCATTACTCAATCCAGTAAGGTCATGAGAAGGACTATTTAGACTTCCCACACTTGAAATCAGGGCTAAAGATCAACAGTCCTTCCCTGCTGTTTCTCCTGTATTTCAGAACACTTTGCCCCCAGAGGTTTTTGAAGGCCCTTCCCTCTAGGCATTTTATAAAGCTGTTAAAACACAATTCCATCATGCTTTTAACTACTACAAATAGTTCTCAATTTATGGCCATAGTTGGGACCAGAACTTCTATAGCTAAACAATGCAGTTGTTAAGCGAGTCATTCTTGATTTTACCTTTTTGCCATAGTCATTAAGTGATTAACCATGGTCATTACTTGAATCACATAGTTAAGTGAACCTGGCTTCTTCCATTGACTTGCTTGTTGGAAGGTCACAAATTGTGACGTTAGGATGCTGCAACCATCATAAATACTTCCTAGTTGCCAAATGTCAAAATTTTGACCATGTGACAATGCTGTGATAGTTACTGTAAAGACCAGTCATCTTTTTCAGTGCTGTTGTAACTTTGAATATCATTAAACAAATGATTACTGAGCACAGTTGCCATCTTGAGGATTTCTATAATTCTAGGTCTTTTTTTTTGATGCAGAAATCTTTGCGGTCGTGCAGTATATTTCAGCAACTTAAATATCTGATTATATCTTATCAATTTAAGAATTCCAAAAAGATAAAAATGAGCTTTGATCAGAAATGGCATATTCTATTAAGGTGGCCAAGTTTGTGATTT